TTTTAGATATGGCAACCTCTTCAAAAATAATACTAATTTCAAATGTAAGTTTTATTTTACTTCCTAATTTTGATATCAACATGTTTTGAAAATTTAAATCGTTTTGCTTGTAAATTTTTAGACATTTTTCAAATAAGTGGCAGCCCTGTTTTACTTAAAAAGGTTTCTTTGGGCATAATATTGACACAACAAGTAATTTTTAACAGTATTTATGAAAGGACAGCTTAGAGCCCTTGAATGCCTCAATTGCTTAGGCAACATTAAGACACGCCTTGTAAACAAAAAAGAGAATTGCACCAACTTTTCCTCGCAACTTAGCTAAGAAATGATTCACTAAACGATAAATTTCCAACTAGTCATTACTAATTCTTGGAAATAATTCCAACCGCTTTCATTCAATAGTCAGAGATGACAAAGCTTCCAGGAGCTTTAATGCTAAACAAATTAAACGTGTCCAACAGCGGATTTTCCAACCTAACGACTTTATATACGAAGCGACCTTTCGATCAGAAAGTTGAAATACTGAAAAATCATCGAGTTTATAGCCACCCCTTTTCCCACACTTCACGTTCCTTCAAAAGAATATTTCGACTTACGCAAACAGCAGCAATCTGCTCAAATTAAGCAACTTTCGGCCGAGTGCAAAGGTCAAAACGCTCAATTGCACCCACAGAATCAATATTTTAGCTTCTTAATGCGCCAGCAACAGGCGCAAGAGGCACGGCCTTTGACCACTTTGTCCATCTTCATTCTAAAGTGCATGCAAAAGTGCATTCGCTGTGTTTGTTGGTGTTGTTGACGTTTTCGCACAACGAGCCGCCCAGCATCATGTCGTTAATTCAATTAATAGCGCTACGAAGCGCCAACAAAGTGCAGAGGGCCAACAAAGTGCTCAGTCATACCCACAGACATACACACACAGACATGCCTTGCGTGTATGTCGTAAGTACAAACAACAACAATGTCAATAAACATGCTACTGACAGACAGCGCGATTCCTTGCTATCAATTGCATTACGGTACATTCACGTCGTTGGGCAAAATGTGTGTGAGCTTGTGCTTCACGAGCACAGGAAATCCCGTAATCCCGGCAAGAACTTCAGGTGCCAAGTGCAAGAGTGGTTACTAACTAGTTTCCAGGCAAACTGTCAGTGCATTGTTATTGTTTTTAATACTGAAAATTATTTAAAGTATACACTGAAAATTATTTAAAAAAAAAAAACTAAATAATCAAAAGAGATCTTCGAAAAATCGTAGAGTATTCTAAAGCTCATATCCAAGGGGGAGCAGGAAGAGTTTCTCATAAATTTACAAAACAAATCGAACTACTCGCTGTTAATTGATTGCGAATTTATGTGTGGTAAAATAGGCGTAGATATATTACACACAGACATATATAAATATGCACTTAAACGAACATGAAAGTGAATTGCTCAAATAGTACAAAGAGTAATAAAAGTCAATAATGTTTTTTAATTTTTTTTTTTTGTGTTTTTTCTTTTGTGCTCACATTTTTGTGTTGACAATAAAAACGGGTACATATGTGGGTATGTATGAACGGTTTACTACGTCATGCTTTTGCACTTAAAATCCAGTGGCGGCGTGAGTAACTATACTCAGTCAGAGTTGAGTGGTGAGTGACCTCTCACTATTGATCGGTGCTTTGTTACTTGCTACTTGATCTTTAGTTAGAGTCGGAGCTTTCAAGTGACCTTTAAAATAAGTGAACGACTCTAGGACTCTATCATCAGCATCAACATTTTTCCAAAAATATTTCTTCGAGATTGAAATATTTTGTTCAATTTTAGTTTACAAAACAAAAAAAGTCAAGTTTTCCAAAGAAATATTATCAGTTTTCTATATATTGTCACCTAAAATGTCAAACAACGTATCATCAACAAAAAAAATTTAAAATTGTTGACAGATATAATAACCAATATATAACCATCTAATAACTCTAATTTCGTTTCAATACGGGTGTAACCATTTTATACTCGAAACTCAAATTTTGCTTCAATATTCAAAACTATTTTATTCAAAAATTTATTACTGTGCCCTCAATCAAATTAACGCCACTGCACAAACTGCCTACCCTTTGTAGCTGTTTACTAGTTTTCCTCTTGAGTTGACACAGTTCATTTCAATTGAGTGGGAGCGCTCACTATTTACATCAATCTTTAGAATTATGACATCAAAACTACAATGCACACGCATTGTGGGTCACTACGGCATACAGACCAGAATGAATTTCATTAATTCGAACTCTACTAACTGTAATATATAACCTCAAAAAAACAAATTTTATTTCAACTACTTACTTCAAACATTAACTAACTTATTATTTTGCAAAAAACTACGCAAAACTCGATTTGGAGAAGAATTGATTATCTCACAAACTCATTAATTCTTAAAAATTAATCTATTAACCTTACTTATACCCTGTACAGAATATATTAAGTTCGCCAGGAGGATTGTAAAACTCGAAAGGAAACCCCCTACAAACGATCGGCGTGACGAGTCCAACTGTTTGTGTAATATATACATGATTTTTCCAGTCTTCGAAACAATTTTTAGTCTTCAGCTCCTTCAAGTCGAAGTAAGAACATGTTTCATACCCAAAATATCCATATCCTTCACTTTTCTAATATTGTCATGCTCTGAAGAATCATGTCTTCAACGATCTCCCGACCGTCTTTGAAGGCTTTGTACCACTCGTAGGCACACGAAATACCGTTACAAACATATAATTTTAGACAAATTTTTTCTTCAATATTTAATTTATAATATCACTCATCACTCAGTTTGTGTCACATTATATACGTGCTGTGCACCGTTGCCCTTATAGGGATACCTTCTCACATATAGTTGGTTAATTGAATCATATTTAGCATCAATTGAGTCTGACATTTAAATCTAGTTCAGCTATTTCATGACAGAAGACACCCATGCCGACGTTGCGTCAAAACAAAACGAACGCGAGAATGGAAACGCCCCTTCATGGGGAATGATGTTGGAGAAAAGACTCACTTGAATAACGACTTGCTTACGTAATAAAAGATCTAGAAAGGGCGTTGATTAGCGGTCATTCACTTGAGTACTTCGTACTTTTGAAATGTTTCTTAATTGTGCGTAATGAAGGGATAGACGAGGTTAGAAGTTAATAAAACTAAAAAATGCGTAAATCCCTTCAACGCTTGTATCTACATATGTAACACCGCTTGGATATCACTATAGCCGTTATCAACTTATGCTATTCATTATCATCAGCGTCAACACAGTCAAGCACACCATCAGCAACATTTCATTGCATACACTTAACCGGGGCTAAGCGGTGCTGAGCAACTGCCACAAAACCAGAGCACAGTGTTGAGATTTCTCGACACATCATTACGAGCCATTCAAAGTCACCAACACTCATTCCAACACTGCACGCACACACTAAACGGTTCGCGCGGCCACCCATTCCCTGCGGAGCTCACGCCTTTAACGCCATTCGCCGCACAGCCAAGTCATACCGCTCGCAGCTATGCAAAGACCGTAGGCAGGGCGTGATGCGGGCTAAACAATGCGATCGCCAGCCGAAGAAGACGCGCAAAACTTCAAGTGTAAACATAGTTGGGCTGGCGAGCTTAGTTCAGTGCTTCTTGATGAGCGCAAGTTGAACGTACTGGCCGAGCGGCAGTTGGCAATAAAAGGATTTAATACATTTTTCCTTTAAATATAGTGTATGAATTTATAAACAATTAAAAGTGAACTGAGTTTACGAAGTGCTTATCGCAGAAACTCGAATGTGAAGTGTTTTAAAAATCGAAATTTAAAGTACAAGAAGACAGCAAGGACAACCTAGCTTACTTCGCAAACCGATGAAATATTGTACTATAAACAATACAATAAAAAGTCAGAGCTTCGAAAATCTTTACCAACAGCATTCTAAAAAATTAATGACTGAAACCCTGCGCACAGGCGGCAAGTATTGAGAATGTCGCACACATCCGGTTGCAGTATTTTAGATAATTTAACAACCTCACAGCCGCAGCTGCTTACCCGCTGCAGCAGCACGGATAGCGGCAGCCAGCTGGTGCTGAATTGCCATCGAAATGGCACAGCCGCCAAAGACATTAACCCAACCAACGCGGCACAGCGACCCCTCACTGCAGGCGGCGCAAAGCAGGCCGCGGTCGATGCGGATGGCGGCATACGCAACTCGGGCTTTGTGGACAATTTTGCGGTGCAACGCCGGCATTCAGAGTACGTGGAGGCCTATGCGGACATGTTGAACGATTGTAGTGGCAAGTCGAAGACACGCCATGCGCGCCCATTATCCTGTTTCGTACAAACAAAACTCACCAAGAATGGCTATGTAAGCACGTTGCAAGGGGAGCACGAAGTGCAAGAACCGTGGCAGAATTCAGGTCAACTGCGACAGGAGTTTGCAGCTAAAATGGCAGCGTGGCTGAAGCCACTGAAGTACGCAAACCAATTCTATTTCATTTTATTGCAATTTTTTAATCATAGTGTTAAGTTAAAGTATATAATTGAAAAGGCGGTAAAGTAAGTTAAGAGGACACTATAAGAATGTACTTGCCTTATGACCTCCTTATGACAACCCCCGAGTATAAGCTTTACGCAAGCTTGAATCAGTTCAATACCAAATTATTGTGACTACTTATGTGTCCTTATATCTGTTATCTCTTAGACTTCATAGAGCAGCTCAAGTCTTTGAATCGCTCGACAGACGAAGTTTCGACACGAATTTTAATCAAACTTATAAATTTTAAGAAGAAAAGACAGGTATTCTTAAATTTTGACCGTCATTTCTTAGGTTAAATAGTGTCACTTAGTGAAACCCTGCTTTCCAACAAGGGATGGTACCGGGGTCTCTGAAACATACTGCAAGTTCAACAGAGATATCGCTGTCTCAACATACTTTATTTAACCCCTAATATAAAAAAATAAACTCAACAAACTTTAAACTTTTCTTTTCCTCTCTTCCATTACAGCTCGCAAAATAATCTATGCAATGGCGGTATTCCCAGTCAAAATCACATACTCGCACCAAAGATACAGAACAGCTGCAGTCCAAATGGTCACAAGAAAGGCACCGTCACACTGTCACACCTGCCACAGCGGCCGCCAGTCGACATCGAGTTTGCTGATATTTCATATTCCGTCTCAGAGGGACGAAAGCGCGGCTTGAAGACCATACTGAAAAGTGTATCGGGCAAGTTTCGCAATGGCGAACTCACCGCCATCATGGGACCGTCCGGTGCGGGGAAGAGTACACTTATGAACATTCTGGCCGGCTACAAGTAAGTACAACAGCACTCAAAGGCATTTGCAGAAAGGGAATATAATGAGTATAAAAAAAAAATTAGTAAAAAGTTGTTGAAAGGAATGCAAAAGAAGCTTATGAACGAAATGAGAGCGGTAGTTATGGTCCTGCGGTAACATTCGGCACCATAATGCTGCTAAAGTTTACCTAATCCTATAAGTCGCAAGTCGCTATGAACACCATATACTTAAGTGTGTTTATAGTCACAAACAAGCACGGTACAGGAAAAGTGTGCGGTGTGCCAAGTATTAACTTTCCTTTATGGCTTCCTTCCTTGTTCTATTTTCGCACACACTGAAACGTCGAATACGCTTCCTTCGCCTTTCTTCGCTCAGTTGAGAACCGCAAGCAGTTCCGTCTTGTCAGCACGTCTTTTGCGACACAGCTCATATCTTTATGTGACGCTATTTAGGACTATTTCCTTTTTTGTATTTCGCATTTGACATTCTTCGAATGTTTTCTGATTTTTTGTATTGGCTTTGTGCCTTGTTGTTTATTAATATTCGACGTGTGTGTGTTTGTTGACAGCTTATGGCCACTTGAGGTATATTAGGCTCCTTTTGAGACGAAAACAGATTAGGTCATTCAAATGCTTTGCTGACATTTTCGTTTCTGTGTTCAGTGATTGATAGAAGACTCACGCTGGCTATTTACCAGTTCAACGTCTCAATAATGAAAGATTCGATTGAGTTCGACAAAAACAGAAATTTTACAAATAGGCTATTGTGCCTGTATTGGCCCCGTTATTTATCGTTGCTTATTGATTAAAACTATTATGGTTGTTCAGCCTAATCAGCAACTCTAAGTTCATTGTGCCAGCCTTTAGATACAATTGAATGATTTCCGAGATAACAAAAGCGCGTCAGTCAATTCTTCTTTTCGTAAGGTGGCGCCAATTTGAGATTCCAGGCGAAGCCAGGCCCTACTCCGGATTCTCCTCTTTCTCTGCTTCCCCGGCGGTTACTGCGTCGAATACCTTCAGAGCTTGAGAGTTTTCGTCCATTCGGCCGACATGACCTAGCCAACATAGCCGCTGTCTTTTACTTCGCTGAACTATGTCAACGTCGTCGTATATCTCATACAGATCATAGTTCAATCGAATGCGGTATTCGCCGTGGTCAACTTGCAAAGGACCATAAATCTACCGCAGAACCTTTCTTTCTAAAACTCGTAATGTCGACTCATGAGATGTTATCATCGTCGATGCCTTTGCACCATATAGCAGAACGGGAATAGTGAGTGACTTATGGAGTTTAGTTTTTGTTCGTCGAGAGAGGACTTTACTTCTCAATTGCCTACTCAGTCTGAGGTAGCACCTGTTGACAAGAGTTGTTCTGCGTTGGATTTCGAGGCTGACAGAGACGTGGAAGCCTAGTCGAGAGTGCGACGACTGTTTGTATGAAGACAGAAGATATTTCGTCTTGGCCTCATTCACTACCAAACCCATTTGTTTCGCTTCATTATCAGCCTGGAGAAAGCAGGACTAACAACGCAGGTGTTGAGGCCAGCAGATCGAACTATTTTCTATAAGATACATTGAAGAAGTCGCACGAAAGGGAGTCGCCTTGTCTGAAACCTCGTGAGGTACCGAAGTTCCTTCCCGATTCTCCCGCTTTTGGTATTGTGTCTGTTATAGTTCTTAAGTAGTTTGAGTCAAATAAGTTTAAATATACTACTTGAATCCGAACGATTTTACCCAAAACCTGTATTTATAATAAAGGAACCGCATAGAAAGGGATAATTTAAATAAGCTTTTCAACGCTTTCAAATGAGGCAAACAGCTCATTAACTCCGATGTTACGTTGTTTCAGTTAACACAACTCCCTTTTCCTTACAGAACATCGCAGCTGAGCGGCTCGGTCATGATCAATGGCAAAGAGCGTAATCTGCGGCGTTTTCGTAAACTTTCCTGCTACATCATGCAAGATGATATACTCATCCCAAATCTCTCAGTGCATGAAGCCATGATGATCTCGGCCAATCTAAAGTTGGGCAAAGATATGAATTTGGCAGCCAAACGTGTAGTTGTACACGAGATACTCGAAACGATTGGTTTGAAGGATTCCAGCAATACGAAGACCTGCAATCTGTCGGGCGGACAACGTAAACGACTCTCGATCGCACTCGAGTTGGTTAACAATCCACCAGTGATGTTCTTTGATGAACCCACATCCGGTTTGGATAGTTCAACGTGTTTCCAGCTAATTTCTTTGCTCAAATCGTTGGCACGTGGCGGTCGCACTATCGTTTGCACCATTCACCAGCCGTCGGCGCGTCTCTTTGAAAAGTTCGATCACTTGTACATGCTCGCCGAGGGCCAGTGCATGTACGAAGGACGCGTACGCGGCCTGGTGCCATTCCTCTCGTCGCTCGGCTACAACTGCCCTTCATATCACAATCCGGCCGATTACGTGCTGGAAGTAGCCAGCGGCGAGTATGGCGAATCTGTGCAAAAGCTGGTGGCGGCGGTCAAAAGCGGCGAGTGCAAGAAATTCAGTCACAAAGATTACGGCTTAACGGCCGTGCGCGGCATTGCCAATGACATTGTCAAAGGTGACAATGACTGCAACAACTCCAACAGCACAAGTACGAACAATGCAACACTAACGGCAACTACAACCCTAACACTGGAGGATGAAAAATGCAAAATGGATGAAATGTCCAGCACTTTAATATCACATTCGAACGCACTCAATAATCCCATCTTGGAGACGCAACAATCACAACTATCCGACTGCACAGTGATCAATTTGAACATTCCAAACAGCAACAATGACAATGGCAACTCCAACAGCGGACTGGCCTACAGCTGCAGCTTCAGTTCGAAGGGCGGACAAGTTGCGCTCACCGGCGCTGCAGAGAAAGCAGCCACCGCCGGTTGCACCACCTCGCTATTGGACTCACACGAAAGTGTTCTTACGCTGCCCAACAGCTCGGGCTTCCCCACCAGCGGCTGGACGCAGTTCTGGATACTGTTGAAGCGCTCGTTTGTGACCATCATGCGCGATCGTATGCTGACACATATGCGTTTGGCCTCGCACATCATTGTCGGCGCTATTATCGGCATGATATACTACGATGTGGGCAATGAAGCTTCGAAGGTGATGAGCAATGCGGGTTGTATCTTCTTCACCACGCTATTCACCATGTTCACGGCGATGATGCCGACGATATTGACGTGTAAGTAAAGTTGCAAGCATAGTTTTAGTAATAACTGTAATTAAGCTGAAAATTCGTCCGCAGTTCCTACTGAAATGTCGGTGTTTGTGCGAGAGCACTTGAACTATTGGTACTCGCTGAAGGCATTCTACTTTGCCAAGACAATGGCTGATCTGCCCTTTCAGGTATGTAAAGAACTGTCATCTCTTTCAGCGAACTGCTTGAAGTAATTGGGTTTCGGCACTTATACAAACCTTTTTCAATATTTTATGCACATCCAACTTTCATGTTTACCTCTTCACAGATCGTCTTCTCCAGCGTCTATGTGATTGTCGTCTACTATTTGACCTCCCAACCCATGGAGTGGATGCGCATCTCGATGTTCGTCTTCATTTGCGTGCTGACCTCGCTGGTGGCGCAGTCGCTCGGCCTGCTCATCGGTGCTGGCATGAATATCGAAGCTGGCGTCTTTCTCGGCCCCGTCACTACAATACCGACCATACTCTTCTCCGGCTTCTTCGTTAACTTCGACACCATACCGGGCTACCTGCAGTGGGTAACCTATGTTAGCTACGTGCGCTATGGTTTCGAAGGTGAGTCCACTTTATTCACACTTTTGGTATCAAAATGCTGACGTTACTTTCTCTTTTCAAATAATTTAGGCGCCATGGTGTCGATATATGGCATGGACCGTGCCAAATTGGAGTGCCATGAAATGTACTGCCATTTCCGCAGTCCCAAGAAGTTCTTGGAGGAGATGTCGATGGACAATGCCGAGTACTGGATAGATGCGGTGGCACTGCTCGGCACCTTTGTGGTGCTACGTATTATCGCGTACTTCGTGCTGCGCTGGAAGCTACATCTCATACGCTAAGCGCTCGTAGCATATGCATATATATAGTATATAGTTGTACGGTGTAATTATATTATGTATATCTATGTTATGTATTTATAGGTTCCATAAGCATTTCGCGCTGATTTCAGTTTGTTTGAGATCATACGTTTAATGTGTGTGTGTGTTTTTTATACCATATATATTGAACTTGATATTATTTAGCGTCCTGAATTGATATAAATATATTTTATTATTGTAGAATTTTTACGCATACGGATTACGTAATTTACAAGTAAACAAATAACAGTACTCTTTGTATGTATGTGTATATATTAAGATGCATGCTTGCTTGTGGTGCTTTAATTTTCTTTCCACCCCCCACTTTAGTTACTACATAAGAAGTACTATGGCAACAAGTTGGCATATTTGTAAGATTAGCGCATAAATAGCTTGAAATATTATTGTAGGAAACATTAGATTTTCAATAAAACACTACAAACTAAAAAGGAGCAGCATTATTATAAAGGATATAGAGCGCGTTGTTGGAAGCATATGGCTAATGGAAGCGGATTGTAGACATGCAACTGTTATTTAGGCATTATACATATGAAGGTTAGCTGCGAATGTCACTAACCGATATATGTTAACGGTTGCACAACAATCGGGTCTACCTAACCGGAACAGAACCGGGCTTCTATCCGGCCGAGGACAGTCAAATCGGCAGCATTCCTCGAAATTTCTTCAGGCATTTTTTCTGCGGCTACAACAGCAACCAAAACAACAACCAAAGAAGAAGCCCTTAAAACTGTTTGGTACATATTGAGAGAGAGATGGTTTTTGAGTGAAAATTAATAAAAGTATTCAAAGAGATTTCTAAATTCTAACAATTTTGGTTCCTAACCTTTTTCTGGGAATTTGGGGTAGATTTGTCTCAATAAAATCCGCCAATTGCCGCTTGAAATTTATTGCTCAATTTTTTGCATTCACGTGAATTTTATTTACAAATGCATACTTTTCAGCGCAGAAAATTTATTGAGCCTGCTATTTCGAACAAGCTGTGGCCGAGAAATAATCATTACCCGAAAGTTCCAATTCTCTTTTAACAATTTCTTCGAGGAAATATTCCAAAGGGTCAAAGTCCCACGTTAATATATTCCCTGGAAGTTATACGGACTATTTAAATAAGTTGTAGAATAACAAATTTCTTGCTTATACTTATTGAAACTTGTCGTTAAATAAAACAGCAATATTTAGCGACAAATGTGTAATTATCATATACTGGTTTCCTTCAGTTCATTTCTGGTTTTGCGAGAAATTGCAATTATCAAGCACAAGAATGTCGAGAGAAGGTATTGTTTTGCGAGAAACTGCTTCGATTACAGAGAAAAGCATACTTCTAGGCTGTCGGTATATTTTAGTTAGTCATAATTATGATGAGATAATGCTCTTTAAGAGCTGTTGGATCTATTTTTGGTTAGCAGTCAACTGTCAGTTAAGTTTTGGTAAAACAAAAGTTATTTACCGGTTAAAAAATAGTTTTACCGGTTAAGTTAACCAGCAATTATCTGATCGAAAACGGTCATAAGTTGTGTTGTTGTGTGAAAAACACTTTAGATTCACTTCAATTCAATTTATAATTTTCATAAAAAGTACTCTTTGGAAAATGCCCGAAAGTATGAACAAAATTAAAACCAARTTGAAATTTATAACAGACAAATTTGTATGTAAATATTTATGTTACAAACAAAGCCATTATTCCTTTTCCAACAGCAAATGTCTTACAAATATCCCACATATGTATATGAAAACATATTATTTAAACCACATTTAATCCAAAGAAATAATAATAAATTCATAATATATTTAAGGAAAGGTTATAGGGTATTAAGAAACCGTCAAAGAAGGAACTGGAGCAAGCATGCTAAGGTGATATTGAAGAAAATGTGATATGCCTGGGTTGCTTGATATTAATTTCGCTTCGGAACAAAATACAAAATTTTATTAGAAAGTCTACATTATGACCTTATACTCGTACATACTCATTTTTTTCACCTGCTGCAATGCCAAATACTATAAAGATCTCTATGGAAATATGTTTCAATGATTATTTTTTGTATATTTTTGTGCACTTTTGGTTCTTACTTTTTATTAAATAAATAAAATAATTGTAAATAATTTATAAAAAAATGTTCTGCTGTGAAAAAGCTGGAATTTGAATGAGATGAACTCGATGCGCATTGATTGTATGTTTGGAAAACGTTTTTAGAACAATATAGAGTGAACTGTTTTTCCCATTATGAAGTAGTTTATTTTTGTAGTGCGATTTAGCTTAAGTGTTGTTGGAAAATAACGAAATTCGTAAGACAAAAATTAAAGAAAAAATATAAAAAAGTTGAAAGGTACATAACCCTGTTTTAAGGTAAGAACTGGTGAAAGTAAATTCATGATTTTAATGAAAGACATGTTTAAGAAGGCGAATTTTAGATTGTGTAGGCTAAGTGATTGAAAATTAGTGTTGTAGTGTTCAAGTGAGTCAAGAGGAAACATTTTTATTTGTAATAACATCATTTTTTATAAAGCTTGCCATTTAAATCAGCACACTAAAAAAGCAATTCATTGGTACCATATAATTGATTTATATATTTTTCTGCATTTTTTCTTTAAAAAGCCATCTCCTTCTTCACTAGAGGAAACTCACTTTCGTATCAGGACATAAATAGCCCGAGAAATTAAAAAAAATTATGCATCATTTGTAATTATAAAATACTTGAACTGATTAAAAAATTAAGACAAAATTTATAAAAATTCAAATTGAAAAAAAAAAATAAAAAATAGAATACAATATCTTAGCGTGCAATAAACCATTGAATTATCACAAAATTAATAGAAAAACTCAATAACAGCATCCACACAGACATACATATATGTATAGTAAGAAGTGATGGAAAAATTTCTCATAAAAAACCTAACCTATCAAAAAAATAAAAATAAAAACTATAAATCCTGTAATATTAATACCACAAAATAAAAATAAAATTATTGATATAAATCCCGTAATATTATCGTTAGCGAAATTGAATACAACAAAATCATCAATATAAATATTTGCAAGTATCTAAAAATATCTAGCGCTTCATCGCAAAAGATCGCATCTACAAATTGTTCACATTTGTTGAAAACATCATTATATCCACATACTAAATACTTGCGCACCTCTCTATGCAAAAATAAAGAAAGCACCTGTTTGTATGTATGTGAATGGTATCGTGCCGTTTTTAAATAAAACACAAAATTCATATGTATACTGAAAAAACTAAGAAAAATTAAGAAAAATTAAGAAAAAATTAAAAAAACCACACATATGTATACGTGATTTTTGAATATAGCAATTTTACATATATATCTATGTATGTATGTACTCTCCAATTGTTATGTCATGCAAGCGAACAACGGACGTCTCTGTATTTTGTGTTGTGTGTTTTGTAAATATGAAGTTGGTCAAGTAGCTATGTGTATGTGTTTGTAATTTAATACATACTATATATATTGATTTTTCTTACTTATATATATATATAATTTTAAGTTCAGATATACTAAATATTTAATTATATACTTGAAATCACTCAAATAAACAACTCAAAAACATAATTTTATTTACGCACACGCGTATAAATTTTCTAACAACAAGTGAAGTGCTAGAGAAAGATGGTGACAAGTTGACGAAGTGTCTTAAAATAATATTTTATAAACTTTTTTTTTAAGAGGGTCCATGGTCGTTTCCTCGGGTAAACAACAGTCTTCTTTTTAACAACTTTTTCACTTTTAAAATTTCGAGACATTTTTCTCTTTTCAAATAGTTGTAATCGAAAAAAATTCTTCGTTCAAGTCTTTAAGAATTGTATCTCAAAGAAATGTGTAGAATTTCATGCCAATCGACCTCAAAATTTCGAGCGCACAAGTTTTCAAGGCTGTATCTCCGAAACCTTTACTTGGATCAACTAGAAAATTTTGCAAAATATTCTAAATATGTTGTAGAATTTAATAAGACAATAGACAATAAAAAAGTCAATTCTCTGAAACCCATGTAACCCCATAGGGTATATTGACAAAGCAGACCCCCTAAATTTTAAAAAATCCTGCAGGACCTATCCATGTTCTCTTAATAGGCCTCTGTGAAATTTTGAAAAAAAAATCGACTGGTTTCATTTTTCCATTGCTTATACTTTCAAAAATAACAAAAATTGTTACATAGTTTTTGAGCTACAACCATTTAAATCCATTTAGCACACCCAAACATCAAAATTTGAGGAAAAAACCAACTTTTTTTAAACTCCGTTTTGATTTTTTTTTTTTTTTTTTTTTTTTTTGTGATCTTAGGTCATTCTACGGAGAATATCTTCTAGTTTAACGACAGTTGATTAGTTTTAGTTTCTATTCACGGAGAAGGCGAAAATACTTGCCATAATTGAAGACCTTTCTTAAGCGCCTTCTGAGATCGCGTATATTTTTAAAAAAATATTTTTTTTTTTTCAAAAATTTTGTGTTTTTAAACATATGTGTACATATTCTCTGAAAATTTCAAAACAATAAGCATTATTTTTTTAAATCCCCAAACTTGCAATTTTTAGGCTGCCGTACTAGGTGGACCCTTAGTTTTTCTCTTATTTACAAGTGATAAGTTTTTAGCAACAGTCACTTCGCACAAAATCGATTTTTTATATATGAGTACGTACTATATAGTATAATATATACTACAAATACATATGTACAAAATTATTACAACAAAAAAAATTTTGTCGCTCATACGCCCTGTACTCCAGCAACTCGACGGTTTGCTTTTCGCTACATAATTTTTGGCATCACTAAAAGCTTCGCAATGGCGAGCTTTCTTTGCAGAGCTTTTTGCACGTTGCTTGCGCGAAAAGCTTTTACAACTGTAGCTTTTTTTAGAGCACACACACATATGAACTAAACAAGTGTATATCTAAATTCAATAGCAACAACGATTTTTTAGAGCTTTGAAAAAGGAAAATTTATGAAAAACTGGTACTTTCAGTTGAGTACTCCTACAAATATTTTGTGATTTTATTAAATGGGATGTAGCTCTTCAAATAAAACTAAAAGAATTCTATAACTAAGATACTTGAAAGGTTTAGAAAATTAGTACACTTTTCGCAAAACCGAATTAACATTTTCCTCAAAAAACGAGAGTCAGACCATTAAGATTTACTTACGACATAATCTTTCAACCTGTCAAAATTTTTGAGCCTTAGATGTCACAGCTAAGAAAGAGCCTAGCAAAATATCACCCAACAAGATGCTAAAACTACGAATTTTTTATTTGAAAATACCTTCATAATGCTGATGCATTTCGTTAAAAAGCTTTTTAATGAAAGAAATAAAAACTTTATACACAAATATATGAACATAACTACTTAAGAAGTATTTGAAGAAAAATTTTCGAAAAACAGACGAGTGAACTTTTGCAAAACTTTTTCCTCAATTT